CAAAAATAAGATATGTTTTTTGAAAATTTGTTGTTGTTCTACGGAAACTCTATCTATAAAACATAATTGAAGAAAATGACGTGAGCGCCTTTTATATAATTTTTAAGTACTCAGTAATCTTTAAAATGTTGGGAAATATTCTTCCTAATCTAATTTTAGGAATGTTGACTTTAAATTAAATATAGTCATCGCGCTTATTTTCTGATAATGTCGTGTATGGTCGACCATACTTTCAAAAATAGGCACGTTTATATACATTTAAAAAATTCAAAATTATTTTGAAAACGTTGGTGTTCGGTGGCTGGTATTAATCTTTTCCATTTGTGATTAGCAAATATAGTTTTCATCTAATCTAAATGACTGAAATTAATACGGAATTTTAAAAGATTTAAAACTCACGAATTTTCCTAATTAAAATTTTAAAAGAATTAAAATTGAGAAAGATTAAAACAATTATTGTAAAAATTCATTATTCATCGATTAAAACAATAGTGTCCTTAATATATGTTATTTATAAAAGAAATTAAATGTTTTCTTAATTAAATAATGCTATAGTTTTATTGTATTTTACAATTTATTTTACGATTCTTGGCAGATTTTCGGTAAATGATGTTGTTGTTTGACAAAAACAAATTGATGATTTAAATTCTCCAAGGAGTCCTACTTTTAACTAATATAAATATGAAAAGGCTGAAATTTTAATTTCTCAAATTTTTTATAAAATTAAGGAAGTTGGGGTAACAGATAGAAAAAAAAATATATATATATATATTTAGCAAGGTTTTCTAAAAATAAAATTTATAAAATAATTTAATTCATTTGTGAAAATCCAGAAAGTTTCTTTAAAATCCGACAATTATTTGATTTTTGTAAAAATTTCCAAATAAATGTGTTTGTTTTTTTACTGTGAAAAAGACGATAAAACATCCTATAGTAATCTTTAGTCAATCGCTGACGAAAAAAAAAGAAAAAGATTTTTAACCAAGATTATGAACGTGCTAGAAAGGATTAAAAAAATTAATAAAATAATAAAAAATAATTTGGTCTTTCCTCTTAATAATAACATAAACATTTTGACAATGAAACTTTATTTTTTATTATTTTTTCAGTCTTTGTTTTATCATTTTTAGTGGAGGCACCTAATTTAAAATCTTTTCCACCATTAACTGTTAAAACATAAGTTAGAATCATTTATTCATCATCAATTATTAAAAGAAATTGAATATTTTAGGCACTTCAAGTATAAGTCTCTGCAAATCCCAAACTTTCCCTTGGGAATGGTTCTCTTGCAAATACACTTTAAGTAGACCCACTGAAAACAACAGTCACAGACCACAGAATCCATATTGTTCAAGTCCTGCTTACACAGCTCACACAACCACTCTGCTGGCGATCTTAAATATATTCTTAGTTCTGAAACACTATTTATATTTACCGGCAAAATACCTTTGGTGTCTATTTTATTATTAACGGCAAAATAATATCGAAAAAGATTGGGCTATGGAAATAACCAAACTTAGTAAATCGAGTAGTAATTTTAATGAAGTGATGAAGGACTACTTTTTATTGCGGATTAAATAAGAAAAGTGACTGCCTGTGATAGTATAAATGAATCGATAATTTATGCAAAGATCAAGCAGTTGTTTGATGATCTTAGAACTAATTCTCCTTTAGTCGCAAAAGATATAACAGGTCCAAATTTTCTTGATCCAATTTATATCTGAATTTATTTCTTTGTTCATTATCTATATGTATATTTATACATTTTTTTAAAATCATTTCATCGCGCGCAAGGCGATAATGCTACTTGGTCGCAGGAGGTTACCGGGAGGGGAAGAGAATGAAAAGATTTTAGTGAGAAGAAGTGAGGAAAAGAATGATGACGATTGATGTTACACTTAAATTTTTGAAGATTGTAGGTGGCAGGGAAACAAGAAATCAGAAGGGTGATCGACATGCGAGAAAAGAAACTATTAGAACAGAAAATACGGTTGTATCTAGCTAGTTCAACAATAAAACGGTGGGACCTAGTTGCCAATCTAGTAGTAGGCTTAAATTCATGCAGCCGAGGTACTAAAGAGATAAGCTAATCAGAACAAATGCCATGAAAATAGTTATAGAAAAAACAGAAGGCAGCCATGTTACGACGGTAGGAAAATGATTGGAGTCGAGATGCCAGGACAGGATCAATTACATTACAGACTCTTTGAATTTTGTAAAGAATTTCGATATATATATATATATATATATATATTTGCAGGAATAATATGGAGAAAATAATAAATAATAAACACAATAAAAATATTAAATAAAAACAATAGAAATTATAATCACACGCCTCCGCAAAATACCAATAATAATTGTAATTGTTAAAATAAACACAACTGCCCACTTAATGCTAAATGTTTAACTAATAATATAATATATAAAGCCACTGTATCAAATAAATATGTAAATATTTTCGTCAGTATTAATACTGACGAAAATATTTACATAGGAGCAACCGAACCCACATTCAAAGAAAGATTTAAGAATCATAAGATGCCGTTTAAAATAGATAAATAGGCAAATAGTGCAACATTACCAAAATATATATGGAGTAAAAAAGAAAATAATATCCCTACTAAATTTAAATGAAAAAATATTAAAAAATTTTAAATTTATATAATAAAACCAATAGGAATTGTAGACTGTGTTTAGAAGAAAAATTAACTATACTAACTTTTAATAACCAAATTATTAAATAAGAAGAATGAGATAATGGGTCGATGTCGACATTTTAACAAATATTTACTTTGTTATTTTAATAATAATATAACATAATACAACAAATACAATATTAGATATAATTTAATTAATAATATAACATAACAATTTTAATACAAACCATACATAAAAAAAATCATAATTGAAAAAAATTATAATCTTGAAGAAAAATTTGCAATTCGATGAAAATTTTACAATTGGAAAAATTATGACAATTTATATTTTCGAACACGTAAACAAAAAAAAAAAAATCAATGACATTTTTTTAAAACAAAAGTAAAACTCATGAACGTATGCGTGTACACAACAGATTAAAAAAAAAATTGAAAAAAAACAATTTTTAAATTGGAAATAAACTTATTCAAACAACAGACCCCATGAAGAATGAACAATTCCAAGAAACTTCGAAGTCGGGGAAACAACATCAAAAATTGATATTTACACATAAGTAATTTTATATATATATATATATATATATATATATATAAATCAAAAAAAACTTTTTGACTTGCTTAAGTCAGTAAAGTCAATAAAGACACAAAGTGGTTTTTAGGGTGTGGAAAAAAAAGAAAAAGAAAATTACTAAAAAACGAGAACAAAAGAAAAAAGTAACCAAGAAAACAGTAGATAACGATTGACATTGCATTTAAATTTTTGAAGATTAAAGTTGACCGGTACGCATGGAGCCGGATGGGTGTTCCACGGGCAAGAAGTGTAAGAAAACAAACTGTTAGCGTAGAACTTGCGGTTACATCTAGCCAACTCAGTTTTTAATTGATCAGGGAACGTCGCCAGCCTGGTAATTCGCTTAAATTCAAATAGTCTAGTTACCACCGCGAAGACCTCATCAGAACAATTACCTTGAAAGTATTTGTAGAACAGGTACAGAGAGGCAACTTTACGGCGTTGGGAATGTGACAGAAGCCGAGATGCCAGATCAGTACCAATAATATTGCTGATTATCCTTTGGATATATTCAAGGATCTCTAAATATAAATCAGGAGCCCCAGACCATATGTGACAGCAGTATTCTAAGCATGGACTTATAGACTTATAGATATGTAAAGATAGATTCTGGAGAGAAAAATTGTCTCGTGCGACACAGTGAACGAACTTTCTTAGCAGCTGACCTAGCAATGGGTTTAATATAATCTTTCAGCCGAAAACGTTAGCCCGAGAAGGCGCAACAAATCACTCTCCTGAAGGTTAGCATCAGCCATGCGAATGGGAATCAAAAAGGCCCTCTCAGATGATTAATAGAGAGCAGCTTAGTTTTGGAGGTGTTAAAATTAACAAGCGATCTTTTGCCTCATTTAACAACAAATTGAAAGTCGTTTTTTTTACACCAGCCGCCAATTTTAACCTTATCGAAATGATCAGCCTTACATGAGTAAATGGCTGTATCATCAGCGTAAATAACAAGTTGAGAGTTGTTATCATCGGAAAGGTCGTTAATGAAAATCAAAAACAAAGTAGGACTGAAGATAGAGCCCTGGTGGACACCTGCATTAGTACAAAAGGATCTAGAAGAGTGGCCGTTCAGGACAACTTTCATTTCACGTTTTGATAAGAAAGTTTGTATCAGTTCAAAAGACTGACCGTAAACTTTTCCAGTAGGGTCACCAGACAAGACCGGATAGGGCAGCAGTATTCAATGCACGGACGAAATAAACATATCCAAGATGGATTCTAACTAGGAAAAATTGTCTGGCACGACACAGTTAACCAACTTTCTTTGCAGCTTGCTATTTATTTTGTACTTTACTTTTTGTAAATGCGTTTATATGTAGATTCAGTGTTGCTTAGAACGAATTAACCTTATTTATATATATTTCAATTACTCGTGTAACAAAGAATTTGATTAACGAATAGGGGTCCGGAACTGATTATATTTGCATATAGAAACTCGCTGTACATGAGTTGATACAAATTAAAACCACAGCTACTTCACTCAACACAGCATAATATATATATATATATATATATATATATATATATATATATATATATATATTGATATATATACGTTCGTCTGTATTTTGCTAAAAATAAAGTATTATATTACATTTCTCAGTTCCCCACTCATTAACCAGTGGTTTTGCCATCTATTGCTAGCTAATTTCGATAAGCATTGAGTGTTCTATAAAATGGGAAATTGTGTCAAGCCTAGGCGGTCTGACTGATATCATATCACAAGTATCAATTGCGGATTATTATTCAAGGAAGTCGGCATTATGATTCTTTTGCGAAAAGTCGACTTCCGTTCCCAGATTGCAACTCTTAGTCGTAAAATGTCGGTTAGCAAATGATTATCCACAGAATATCAGTTTTGCAATTTGTCATGGCTTTCCGTTTTAAGTTTTTTTTTTTACACCCAAAAAAGCCAGCGCAACCACTTTGTTAAAAGCCCTTCACTAAACGTTGTGTTGTTGTTGTTGTTGTTGTTCTTCTTCTTCTTCTTCTTGGCCTCATTCCTTTTTCTCTACCACGTTCTTTTTCTTCTTTACCACATACCACAGCGGTTTTCTTCATTGCCCCATACCTCTTGTTCTTCTTTATCACATTCTTCTTTTTCTTTTTCTTCCTCTTTTTTTTATTTTCCTTCTTTTTCTTCTTCTTTACCTCATTCTTTTTTAACTACCACGGTCTTTTTCTTATTTACCACATCCCACTTTTTTTCTTCTTTATCGCATTCTTCTCCTTCTTTTCTTCTTCTTTCTTCTATTTCTTTTTTGTTACCCCATTCTCTTTTCTCTTCCGCGTTCTTTTCTTCTTTACCACTTACCATTTTTTTATTTTTTTATATAGAATTCTTCTTCTACTTCTTTTCTTCTTCTTTTTCTTCTTCTTTTTCTTCTTCTTCACCCTTCTTTTTCTTCTTTAGTATATACCACTTTTTTCTTTACTCCATTCTTCTTCTTCTTTTCTACTTCTTTTCTTCTAATTCTTTTCTTCTACTTCTTCTTTACGTCATTTTTTTCCCTACCGAGTTCTTTTCTCCTTTGCCCCATACCTTTCTTCTTCTTCTTCTTCTTCTTCTTCTTCTTCTTCTTCTTCTTCGTCTTCGTCGTCGTCGTGTCATCGTCGTCTTCTTCTTTTTTACCTCATTCTTTTTCCTCTTCCGCCTCCTTTTCCCTTTTTACCACATACCTCTTCTGACTTCTGAGGCACGGTGGAGTAATGGATAGCGGCTTGGATTGAGGAATCGGAGAGCCAAGTTCGAATTCCAGTCGAATCCATTACATTCACTTACGTGCTAACACCCTTGGGAAAGGTGTGAATCCTCTTTCTTCTCCCTCCAGCTATGGGTAAATAGCAGGACAGACAGGGTTCTATAGCCTTGGATGGGAACTGGTCTAGGAGAAGAAAAACTCTGAATTCAAAGCCTGCTCTTAGAGGAGGGTAAATGGAGTCTCTCTGAGCCTTGGTTGGCAATCCATTTAGTGTTAGTGTAACGATAAAAACACCCTTGATAGCCCTAGCGAAGTATCAAGAATTCAGCTATTTGACAAGATTATGAACTACACCAATCAAAGTATTGGTGAGTTCAATCTCGGCTGAGGCCGCAAGATGATGATGTGCCATGTGTCCTCGGTTAGTGATTCTTCTGACTTTTTACCTCATTCTTTTTTCTCTACCGCGTTCTTTTCCTTTTTTACTGCATAACTCTTCTTCTTCTTTTTCTTTTACTTCTTATTTTTTACCTATTCTTTTTCTTCTACCGCGTTCTTTTCCTTTTTTTGCCATATGCCTCTTCTTCTTCTTCTTGTTTTTCTTCTTCTTCTTTCGTGTCCTCCTAGTCTTCTTCTTCTTTTTCTTCTTATTTGCTATATTCTTCTTTTCCAACACATTTTCTTTCTTTCGTTCCTTTCTTCTTTCATGTCCTTCGTTTTTTTCTTCTCTTCTGAGATCGTTCTCCTTCTTTTGTTCTTCGTCATTCATCTCTTAGTTTTCTGCTTCTCTCGAAAATTCTTCTCCTTTCATCATTTCCTCGTTTTCTTCTTCATCCACTTCTGGCTTATGGCCATATCACATTGAAACATTGCTTCTCATCCGATCACCAGAGAGCAACGTCGAGCCTGGTCACTACCTATATGAGTGACCGCTTCGGAATAACAGATGCACTAAGCTAGGATGTGCAGGTGTTTTAATGGATAACGGCTCAGAATGAGAAATCAGATATCTTAGTTCAGAGCCTAGTTACGCTTGAGAAAAGTATCAATCCATATTTCTACTCCAGCTATGGGTTAAATAGTGGGATTTATGAACTCGTATCTGAAAACATTATTATCTCTTAAAAATGGTTAGTATATTATTCACTCGAAAAAAAAAGTAGAATTATTCTTTCAATCTCAAAATATGCTTTGGCATTAAATTACAGTGTAACCCGGATATAAGAGACCCGGATATAAGAGAAACCCGGATATAAGATAGATTTTCTCTGGTCCCAAAGTGTTCCCATACTTACCTAAACAAAATAGACCAAACCCGGATATAAGAGAAACCCGGATATAAGAGACTTCTTCTCCGGTCCCGACAACTCTCTTATATCCGGGTTACACTGTACACAGACATGGTTCTTCTTCTTCTTCTTTTTATTATTATTATTATACTTTTATGTTCCGTGTCCCTTCAGGACGTAGGCGATCATGGCCCTCCACATCTTCCTGCCCCTTGTAGCTCTTAATAAGTTTTGTCTTTTATTTTTTTCTCCCAGACCCTGTTTCGTCATCCACTTTGCTCAAGGCCATTAAGTATGTCGCGCGTTGCTTTTCTCTGTCTCTCTTTCCCTCTATCTGTCCTGTGAGTATTACATTTTCCAAGCCCTCCTTCCTCATTTCGTGCCCCATAAATTTCAGCTGCCTCTTCCTGGTGTTAAGCATAATTTCCGTTTTGTTACCATTCTCTCCGAAACCGCGTTGTTGCTCACATGTTCAGCCCATGGTATCCTCATCATCCGTCTGTAGAACCATATTTCTGTTGCTTCGAGTCTCTTCTTCATCTTTGAGGAGATTGTTCAACATTCGCTGCTATACAGGAGGAAAGATATCACGTAAGAGTTCAATACTCTTTTTTTTGTTTCCAATGAAAATTTTTCTGTCTCTTAATACTCTCCTTAGCTTTTGGAAGGCATCTTTGGTCATCCCAATACGTCTTCCGGTCTCAGTGTCGCACTTTCCGTCCTCTGTTAGAACACTTCCCAGATATTTAAATTGCTGTACTTGTTTGATCTTAATATCCCCGAAATCAAATTTACAAGGTTGATAAGCCGTAAAAAACAAATCAATCGATCACCTACTTATTGTTACATTTATCCTCCCCCTGCCTTTTCTCCTCGTTTTTCTCCCTTCTTTTCTTTTTCTTTGTCTTCTACTTCTTCCTCTTTTTCTTTTCCTTTTCTCTTTTCCTCCTTACAAATAAAACCATTTATTTTTCTCTTCGCAGTCGTAGTTTTACACATATCGCCATGACAAAAAAAAAACTAAGCACCAGATGACATTGTTTACTTCTATCAATATTTTTCACGTCGTCAAAATTGGTTCCTCCCTTAAGAAATAGTTTAAACATGCTCGCCGAAGTTAAACAACATTCTACCGAATTAATATCAAATTGGCGACCCACTGAGAATCTTTGAACAAGTTAATAACTTTTAAATCATTCGTGGAAGTTGACGCTGAATGTTGGTTTTTACATTCAAAATGAACAAACGCTGAACGATCGTGGTTTTGGTAAAGTATTTTCTTTTTCTTGAATACAAATTGTATTATTTTTGAGCGACAGCGTTCCTAGCTGGCGGTACGTGGAAACAGAGAACGCGGCCACTCCTTCTTTTAGCAGGCAGTCGTCCTGATTAGTTATTTGGTTATTAACGGAGTGCAACTGCCTGTCCGGCTTTCTGGCGAAAGGGCAGGGAGAACCGACGTCGAAACCCTCTTTTCCTGGGTTTATATCAGCGTTTCTCAACCTTTTTAAGCAACACCACACCAAGGAGCAAAGTTTTTAAAGGCTATACATTTAAATGTTATGAAATAAAACCACAAATTTTGAATTAAACAAAGAATGTTGAATACAATTATATATATTTTAAAAAAAAGCTTAATATTCATTTATAAATAATAAATAAATAAATAATAATATTTATTTATAAAGAAACATTTTAAACTTATTTTATTTTATACTTATTCCCATTTTCATGCGAATATGTATACCGAGTGTAACAACAAAATTGTCCAAATAGGATATATATATATATATATATATATATATATATATATATATATATATATATATATATATATATATATATATGAAGAAATATAGTGTTAAGATGTGCTATATTTATGGGATAAAGTGCTCAATATCAGTGAACATAGAAATGCAACACTTAGAGGCGACAGTCTGTTTCATCATGATATATATATATATATATATATATATATATATATAAATATTATGATATATATATATAAAAATTATGAAAATAAAAGGTTATAATTTTGAATAATATTATTTGCTCTACTCGTTATTGAGCACTCTTTTAAGAATAGTGTTTTTGGTTATCAGAATTTTATTCCATCTGTACTTACCCTGTACTTTTATATATATATATATATATATATACATATATATATATATATATTGTCATCCACAGACAGTTTCGCTGTATCACAGCTCATCAATGTGGCTAGACATCCAATTGCTACAAGCCGGGATCGAAACCCGATTGATTTGGCAGAAATTTTTCCCCTGAGCTATCAGTACCCGTTTGGGAGGGAGGCTAATTTTTACGTACTTATTCTGAGAATAAACACGCCAATATATATATATATATATATGTGTATGTGTGTGTGTGTGTGTGTGTGTGTGTGTGTGTGTGTGTGTGTGTGTGTGTGTGTGTGTGTTATTTTTGTGTATGTCTGTGTCTGTGTGTGATGCGGATAAGATTGTTAAACAGATTACTAAAAATTTGAACAAAAATTATAATCTATAAAAAAAAATATCGTCACTGCGAGAGTGAAAATTAAAAAAAAAAACTTATAAATAATTTATTAGGGTGAAATTTTCGTTTAGGTATAATTTTCATTTAAAACAAATTAAATCCAGGTTGCTAAATCCGATGATCGACACACACACACAAGCACATAGTCATTCACACACCCATACATACACACACTCACACACACATGCAAACACACTCTTACACACTCTCTTACTTACACACACTGACTCACGCGCACGCACTCACTCACACATAAATACATACACACTCACACACACACACTCACAAGCACAAACTCTCAGACATACTCACTCATACCTATACATACATATACACACTAACTCACACTCATATACACACTCTCTCATACACTCACCTACTCACATCTATACATACACACACACTAACTTACATACACATACCCTCAAAGACACTTACTAACACACCTCACAAAGACATTTACTCACACACACAGTCTCACAGACTCACGCACAGACATATATACAAACACATACACACACTCGCACATATATATATATATATATACACACACATGCACACACTAACTCACACATACACACTCAAGCGCGCGCACACACACACACACACAAACTCACTCGCATACGCATACTGTCTACTTATACTCGTCTTTCATCTAAACCCACTTCTGGATAATTTCTCACTAAATCTGGCGGAATTTCTTTCCTACATCACATTTCCCATGTTGGTGAACTCAACACTTTTTCGAAAGATTGTGGCATGAAATGAAAAACGGAAAATATCTTTGGTATAGATCAGCACCACCACCACCACGCCCAACCGCCGTCCAAACAGACAGACACCTCTTTACAGGCTATTGTCTATTGTGTGGTGAGAACTCTCAAAAACATACAACTCTCTCTCTCTCTCTCTCTCTCTCTCTCTCTCTCTCTCTCTCTCTCTCTCTCTCCAGCACAGGCCACATCTGTCTGTGTAAGTGTGTATATGTCTGCGTGTGAATGTGTGTATGTGCCACATACCTTCAAGAAGAATGAAATCATGAGTACCCACAGCTTCCTTCCTTTAGATTATATTATATTGACTTTGCGGTACATGTTCTTCCATCCATTTATTCGAATTTATCAAGTTTCTTACCCGTTGTTGTCCTCTGCGTCTTTTTGCTTTCGATGGGCCCTGGGGGTGTTAAGTTAGAATTGGAATAAAACAGTACCTAACCTATTCTAATGGATTTTTATTCAATAAAAGTTAATCAGTAAAAAAAAGAGCGTTACTTTTGCGCACCATATACACACACACACATACATACATATATATATATATATATATATATATATATATATATATATAATATATATAGTGAACTATAAAAGTGAACCTTTTCGGCCTAGTTGAACTATAAAACAGTGAACCTCTGAGTGTTGACTTCAATGTTTATATATATATATATATATATATATATATATATAAAACATTGAAGACAACACTCAGGCTGTTTTCATGTTGGACGCTCTATATATATATATATATATATATATAAACATTGAAGTCAACACTCAGAGGTGACAGGCTGTTTCATGCTGGACGCAATCGTCAGGCCGAAAAGGTTCACTTTTATATTCATATTTACATACCCTCTATCTCTTATATTGAGCACTTTATCCCATAAATATAGCATACCTTAAAACTATATTTCTTCATTTATATATATATATATATATATATATATATATATATATATATATATATATATATATATATATATATTATTTGGCAAACATGGATAAACGTACCCACAATAAAACGTTTGTCAAAAGGACGGTTATTCCTATGACATCGCTTTCTTAGCTACATTCACTCTTTGGCAATGTTTTTTGTTTTGTTTTAAAGAGCAATTTCTTCTTGAGAAATGACACAAAAATATTAATTTTTTTTTTCTAAGCATTCCACCCCAAGCAAGGCAGGAAGCCACTAACACGCAAGGGGTTACAGAGAGTTGGAGCGAGAGCAAAGAGGAGTGATAGAGGAAAGGATAAAGAGAAGGATAGGGGATAGATCAGAGCATCTGGAGACATCGATTGACATTACATTTAAATAGTTGGAGAGCATAGCTACCAGGGAAACAGGAAAAGGGGAGGGAGTTCCACAGGCGAGAAGTGCGAGACATGAAACCATTGGAATAGAAGAGACGGCTATATTTAACAGTTTCGACAGTGAAAAGGTGAGAGCGAGTTATTTCTTAAATTGTTTATTTACAAAAATAATTTTATATTGACAACATTCTAAAAACTAATACAATTAAACCAAATTCAATGCAATATTTATCATTTAACAATTTAGAAATAAATAAATTTTATTCATTAATTTATAAACATTTATTAAATTACTAAAACAAGTGTGCCAACAATAAGGAAATCCTTGTTATTTACCATTTTATAAAGTTCGAATCAATTAGTCGATGTTTTACCAACAATTCCAGTAAGGGAATTTCCTTGGGTAACATACATCAACATATATATATATACGAGGGTCATTCAATAAATAAGGTGAATTTTTCGGTATAAGGACTTCTAATACAGATAGAAGCTTACTTTTTTTATTAATTTATTTTTTTGTTTGTTTTTTTTACTTCTTTTTCACATGGATTTAATTTCTTTTGCAGATTAAAAAAAACTTTGAGAATATTTGGCGATTAACAAAGATGGCCGACCAAGAAGCATGCTTCAGGATTGAACAGCGGTCAGTTATCAAGTTTTTGGTTGCTGAAGGGTGCAAACCAGTTCAAATTCATAGGAGAATGTCAATTGTGTATGGTGCCACATGTTTCAGCCAAAAAAAAATGTCTACAAGTGGGCTTAATTGTTTAAAGAAGGACGGAGCCGTGTTGAGGATGAAGACAAGCCTGGGGGGCCTACAGAAGTGAGGTTTCCTGAGGTGATCGAATCAGTCAATGACCTCATTCAGTCTGACAGAAGAACTACTGTGAACTGCTGAGGCAGGTCAAAGAAAGACAAAAGAACAAAATGCAGGGGTCATCAGTCAGAAGGAGTCATCTTGCATCATGACAACGCAAGGCCTCACACAGCAGCCCAAACGGTGCAGACCATCAACGAGCTGGGCTGGGAACTGCTCCCTCATCCCCCTTACAGCCCAGACCTTGCCCCTTCAGACTTTCACCTGTTTGGTCCCTTGAAAGCGTTCACGAGAGGCACGAAGTTTAAAAGTGACGATGAAGTCAAAAGTGTTGTGAGCGACTGGCTAAGACATCAGTTCAAAGATTTTTACGCTGAGGGATTACGGAAGCTTGTGCACAGATGGGAAAAGTGTGCGACAGTGCTGGGAGACTACGTTGAAAGATAAAAAAAAAAGTAAGCGTCTATCTGTATTAGAAGTCCTTATACCGAAAACTTCACCTTATTTATTGAATGACCCTCGTGTATATATATATATATATATATATATATATATATATATATATAAATTAATTGATTTAAAATATGTTTTTTTTCGCTACACAGTTCTAACCATGTTTCAAAAATGAAAACTAAAAAGCCCCGAATTTAATTTTGTGATTAAATTAAAGACATTAGTTCCATTTCATCCTCAAGCGAATTTAATATTAATTTATAATATTAATGCTCTGTAAATTTACATTGAGCACTATTTTGTAAAAATAAAAATATCTATAAGAGCACCGGATTATATATCTTGCTGTTTTTCTTTATATATATATATATATATATATATATATATATATATATATATATATATATAGAAGGATGAAAATGAAAAGTTTTAAACTCGGCCAAAAAGTTCTTCCCCAAATTCTGATATTGATTATCTGATCAGGTTTTTGGGAAGTGGTTCAAGGGCTAAACATTTTCCGCACCCCCTCGTATATATACTAAACATTAGACTAAGTTATTATAATTATTTTTATTAACGATATTGCTATTTCATTTATCACATTGGGTCAAGACAGAGAATCAATTATTATCGTTGCTTATTTTTTTTTTTTTTTTTTTTTTAGTAGTTCAATTTAATATTCACGTTGAGTAATGGATAACGGCTCGAATTGAGGAATCAGAGAACCGAGTTCAAATTCCAGTCAAGTTCATTACATTCACTTACGTGCTAATGTCCTTGGGAAAGGTGTGAATCTAATTCTTCTCTCTCTCTCTCTCCCACCCCGAGCCACGGATAAATAGTAAGGTAGACCGGTTTCTATAGCTTTGGGTGGTAACTGATCTAGGAGAAGGAAAACTCTGAATTCCAAACTGCATATAGCCCTGGTACACAAGTAAAGAGACGACAATGCAAATTAAAACGAAATATAGAAAACATCTTGACTGCATAAAAATCTCAAATTATAAAACACAATTACGTTATATTTGATACGCATCGTTTAAGAACTCTTTTTTTTTTTTTTTTTCTTTCTGTCTGGAAACGATGCACTTGTGGACACACTGTCACTCCTTGGGGCCGAGCTTCCTGAGCCTGGGTGTGAACTGGTGAATTTGTGTAGGAGTCAGCTGCTTGTAAAAAAAAAAAAAAAAAAAATGTTCCCTACCCTTTCGGCTCGTTAATTTTCTGTTGCTAAGATGGAACTCAAAGATGTCCGGGTAAAGAGGCGTAGTCTTCATGGTTCCACATTCCATAGCTTTTAATAACCAACTGAGGGGTTATTATGTAGGACAGTATTAAAGTAACAATGATTTAGTTACTCTATAAGCGTCTCACAGGTGCCAAACAGAGTTTTACAGTACAATCTAAAGATATTTAGTATTTTAATTTGACAGTTATCTCAATTTGTTTGCGTGTTGTAAGTGTAAACATATGATCGAGGCCTTCACGCTTTTAGTAACTGGACAATTCACCCCCACGATGTGCTTCGATTCTCTTTGCGTCGATGCTTTTGTTTGTTTATTTTATTTTAGTTATTTTGTTTATTTTATTTTAGATATCTATTTTCATTTATTCTTGTCCGTTTTCAATTTTCGATTTTTACATATATATATATATATAGAGAGAGAGAGAGAGAGAGAGAGAGGTCATGCTGAGTAAATTTACGCCCTGGCTCTTGCAACATTTCACCTTTCCTGACAGAACTTCTGTTATTCTGTGTGGGATATCTACTAACAAAGTGATGGAAAGAAAAAGAAAACGATTCTAAATGAAATCGGCTAGATTTTAAAAAATTAGAATTTCCAGCACCCCTCGTTTGTGCGCATGTGCAGTCACACCAACATAACAAATTTACAACGAAGAAATCCTAAATCCTAAAGGACGAAACGCGTCACGAGAAAACTTTTTCCACTTTGTCATACATTTTCCCCAATATTGTTCTTTATATATATATATATATATATATATATATATATATATATATATATATATATATATATATATATATATATATATTATATATATAACTTTTGTCGGAAAGTAAATATTTCTCCAATAAGACTTTCTCAATTTCTAAAGTGGTTGTCATTAATTTCTCTGTTTAAAATAACAGGCACGTTAGTACCGACTAAAAATAACTTTTATACTACGAACACACACATACTCACATACACACAAACACACACGCAACTGTGTATATATATATATATATATATATATGTGTGTGTGTATGCGTATAGATAGATAGATAGATAGATAGATAGATAGATAGATAGATTCATAGATAGATAGATAGATAGATAGATAGATACACACACACACCTGTCATCTGTTTTTCTTTGCGTATTTCTATGATTTTCTTACGGCTTACCTTTCTGTCTACTCAACTTCGTTTCACTTTCTTTTCTCCTTAATTTCCACAATCGACGTTGCTTAACTTCGGTGATCTTACCAGAACCGGTGTTTCAACATGAGATGGCCGTAGGCCATACCACCCGCCAATCCAAGTTTACACCAACGAGTATTCCCAAAACCGTCATCCACCTATGTACTGACCAGGATCAACGTTGCTTAACTTCGGTGATCGTATGAGAACCGGTTTTTCAACATGACATCGCCGTAAACCATGACAGCCGCGAATCCCAAGCGCTCATCCACCCATGTACTGACGGCAATCAACGTTGCTTAACTTAACGTTGTTCGTACGAGAACCATTGTTTGAACGTGATATGGTTGTAAGCCATACCACCCGCCAATCCAAGGTTCACAGCAACGAGTATCCCAAGTGGTCACCCATTTATGTACTGACAAGGATTATCGTTGCTTAACTGCTTACGGGGGCCGATCTTTTAACGTAATATCGCCTCAAGCCTGTTTATTCCGGGACACGAGCCAAAACAGGTGGTGTGAAACGTGAATTACGTCTCATGTTCTCTCGGTGGGTAATTTCCTTATTTGCGGCTGAAGAACTGTGGAGAATCACTGGTAATTATTTGATGAAATTGGTAGGCTTGTCAGGGAATAGCCTTTTATCACTGTGGTTAAAAAGACCGACGCCCGTCTGCTTGACTACTTAACGCCGGCGTCTAAGTGAATGAGGGATTGGTGAGAAGGGGAGTGGTTATTTCACTTGACTGCCCAGGGTGTGTGTTTAAGGAGACTTCCTTTCCATTTGTCGATCAGGTGACATTCCAGGTCATCCTCAATTATGTGCTGTGTCACTTCAGGACGTGTGCGATCAGAGATCTCCACAACTTCCTGCCCATCGCAGTAACGTTCCATCGTCACAAACCATGTCCTGACTCTAGTTATGTTGAACTACTGTACTCTCTTTGGGCGTCTGTTCGGATTGAGGTTCATCCTCAAAATGAAACATATATACGATCCAATGCCAAACGTTCTACAGGTTTTGATAAAAGCAATGCATAACCTATCAGATCGGGTTACCCAGTCCGCTCAGGCGACCTCCAATTGAAGATATCAAAAAAAGATATAAAAAAAATCAAATTAATTATCTATTATAAAAAAATTTAAGGCAGCCAACCTTATCCTCAAAAATAACAACGCACCAACTAAGTCAAAATTACAAAGAACGAACATTATCTATGAGTTCAAATGCCCCAATTGAAAAAAAAAAAATTCATTACACACCGGACTCATAAATAATTACATCGGTTACACAACCACATGCTTATCCAGACGTCTTACGTTACACCTATCTGATCACAGCTCCATTAGAACCCATTTAAACTCACACACAAATTTACCAGACTCCATTAGAAACATACTAGTAGAAAACACAAATATATTAACTGCATCCACCTGCAAAAAAAGACTAAAAATAATGGCAGCTTTAATAATAAAAAAGAAAAAGCCAACTCTTAACAATGTTAACTACAAAAAAGCCACAAAGTGCTAACCGTATTCGGAAATTAAAAACATCCCTACTACACACTAAGACATACACATAACGCACACACTCAATTAAGCTGAAAAATCGAATCATCCTTGATAATGGCTAAAAGTATAGCCGAAAGCGCTCGGAAATATAAAACATTTGGACAGTTCTTACACACCCTTTGTCCAGAAAAGAAAGCTCTTGTTCGAACACAAGAAAAATTAAATAAAAAGCTTAACCGTAGTACCTTGTCTGTCGTTTTTAATGAAACATGTATAATTGAAGATATCTAGACATGACTCCGAAGTCGCCTTAGCTGCGTCATCCTTCCAAAAAACTACATTTGTTCTGTTGTTAACTGGGGCAAAGAATGGCCTGTTAATTTTAAAGCCTCCAAAACAAAACTGCACTCTATTAATCATCGGAGGAACCTCTTCCTGTTTTCCATCACTATGGCTGATGCTAACCTCTAGAAGAGTTATTCGATGCGCCTTCCCGGGCTAACATTCTCACCTGACATGAAGTGGAAAGATTATATTGAATCTATTGTAGGTCTACTACAAGGAAATTTGGTTCACAGTGTCGTGGTAGACAGTTTTGTTCTCTCCAGAATCTGTCTTATATATCTATAAGTCTGCCATTCGTCCATGCTTAAAATATTTCTGCCACATATGGTCCGGTGCTCCTGCTATAAATTTAGAGACTCTTGATAAAATCCTAAGAAGACTCTGCAATATTATCGGCCCTGACCTGGCATCTCAATTTCCCACCACTAGTAAAGTTGCCTCCCTGTGCATTTTCTATAAATACTTTCATGGTAATTGTTCAGATAAGCTCTTCGCTATAGTATGTTTAATTGTAAATATTCATTGGGATTAGATTTTTAAATTTGTTGTTTTATTCCCCTCCCCCGACAAACAATGAATTGTACATATGGGGACTAGTTAGGACTTTCATAGAGACATTGCGGTATTATGGTGAATGTAGTAAGAAAAGTAAGTAAAAATGTGTTGTTGTGTTAGGAATATTGTTGTCTGTTTGGGTCAGTGTTTGTGGCTAGCTAAGTTTAACGTTAAGAGCGAAGAAGACCGTCCTTTTCCCCCATTTTGGCCTTGTGCCACATTTCTGTACATAGCAGAATAAATATCGCTCTTCGCTATGGTACCTAGACTTTATGAATTTAAGCACAGTACTCGACTGGCGACGAGGTCTCATCAATTATAGTTGCATTGTCAAGATGTAACCGTAAGTTCTATGCTAGCGGCTTCTTTTCTCGCACTTCTCGCTTGTGGAACATTCGTCCGTCTCCATGCTTTCCAGTTAAATTTGATCTTCAAAAATTTAAATGCAATGCCAATCGTTATCTAATGTCCTGATTACTCTTCTATTGTTCGAGCTTCTTAATATTCTTCCACGCCCAGTAACCTTTTGTGTCTTAATGGCTTTACTGTCTTGGTTGGGGTGAACTCTATTTAAAATAAACGTGTATGATACCCCTACTGCATCCATGTATGAATCTTTTTATCTATAATTCTCAAAGTGTGTGTGTGTGTGTGTGTGTGGGTGTGATCTAATGTTGTTTATGCATTTCCACAGTTTTCAATGAAATTGTTTTTGTTGATAGATAATTCTTCAGTGCTGGTTTTGAGTCCAAATTTCACATTCCCCTTCTTTTGGCCAAGCTTCAATCTCTATCAAGTGAGGTTACCTTTTCCATTGTATAAAGCCTACTACTACAGTTTTAATGCGTTGCTTTCATTGTCCTTTATAGCCGTTCCCAATTTAAATTTTTTATTCTCCTGCCAGTTTTTGCATTGCCTTCACCATTGTAATAAGTAAGCTTGCTTTTTTATTACTCAACATTTATTTTTCCAACCTTTCCTAAAATTATTCGAGCTTAGTGATCCCTGTAGCTTTACAACGTTCTCTTCTGGTATTTGCCCACGCATTCCATTTGACAATTCATAATTGTCTAAGACATGCCACCAAAGAAAAGAATTTACCTAGGTCGCAGAACCGCTGCCACCAGGTTTGCCATGCGGATAAGAGATAACGAATCGTCTTTAGAATGTTCAGTTCACCTGTCTCTAAATGCCTTTCGGAATGTTTCAATCAGAACCACTGAGTCCGAAGATCAACGTAGGCATTGGCTTTTCAAAAGAGCGTACCTGAACGCTTCTGCACGTGAGGCTGAAAAGGATGATCAAAGACCTCAACGGCTGAGGAGAAAGGCCTCTTCAACTGCTGCTACGCGTGAAGCTGAAACAAGATTGAGAACGTAAAAACGGCCCTTTTCAGCCCCACCCCCTTCAAATTGTTACCCCGCCCCCATTTCGGAATGTGCTTCAGTTGCACCCAATTGTTGTTACTAATATTGATCTTTGCGTGGGCTTACTTTAACTTAAACTGCTTCAATTGAACGGTAGAAATTCCCAATAATGAAAGACCCGAGAATGTTAGATCGAAGATATGTTATTATGGCATCAAATGACAATTGGGAAAAAATCTTACATTTTGCCGACGCGTTTCGTCTTCGAGACTTTTCAAGACAAAAATGAAATCGAAATGTCTTTGTTGTTATTGTTACATTAAAAATCCAAATTTAAAAAGATAGACGCTTCTGTCTAAGCCTTTTTTTTTTTTTTTTGCTTAATGTAAATTACCTTTATAGTAAGGGATTTAAAAAAAAAGAAATAATGATAATAATAATCGATACAGCGAAACAATCTATGGATGACAATATATATATATATATATATATATATATATATATATATATATATATATATATATATATATACCATGGAATATTAGTGTTTAAGCCTTTTTATTATATCCTTACTCTGTCCTAGACATTGAGTTCTACCTGGATCCTTCCTCTTGGAAAAAATTTTTTTCTGAAAATATACATGTATGGGAATTTTTTTAGATATATTTTTCATATGTATGTATATTTTCCACTAATATTATCTATATATATATATATATATATATATATATATATGTGTGTGTGTGTGTGTGTGTGTGTGTGTGTGTGTGTGTGTGTGTGTTAAGATGAGAACGAATAGAAACAAATTTCAACGTTCGTAACATTTAATTTAGAATATTACATCAAAAATGTATAAAATCACTATATATATATTTGCAGTTGTGTTTCGATGCGCATTCAACCCATATAATATATTAGGATGGCAAGCAAATGAACGATTTCATTTACAATGCCTTGTAATATGCGCATCGAAACACGACTGCAATTGTGTATTTCATTTTTCTTTTGATGTTTTCGATGTAATATTCTAAAAAAAAAAATATATATATATATATATATATATATATATATATATATATATATATATATATAATATATATAATTTATCTGTTATTTTTTGGATACAGTAATGATTGACAGGAAGTTCTCTATGGCTGAACGGTCATAGCAAAAAATATAACTTTATTTTATTGTGGTTCCTCATAGGAATACAGGTTTGATTCCTCTTGGAGAAGTCTTATTTGCTACGAAATTTATTCGAACATTCAGGCAAGTAAATGTAATTAATACTGTTTAATTAAAGAATAGAGCATTTAGTCAAATAAATGTATCCATAAAAATGACGTATAAACAATATATATATATATATATATATATATATATATATAGAGAAATAGAGATATCAGATTTATTAAGAATCGTAAAAGACAAGATACTGCGATTAAGCTTTTATAGTTACATTTCCTTGTCTTCGAACAAATGTTTTCTTTTCTGTACACAAAGTGTGTAAAAACTGTCGAAAAGTTTTATATATCCAAACGCTTTCGGCTTTTTTTTAGACATTATCAAGGACGATTTTTACTTTCCTAATTTTTATTTTTGTCTGAATGTGCCGAGGAATATATTATTTTCCAAACATGGTCAGCACATTATGGCCGTTTTCGTAGTTAATGTTATTGAGTGTTGGCTTTTCCATTTTTGTTATCAGGGTATCCATTATTTTTAGTCTTCTTTTTACGTGTGGATGAAGCTATTATACTTGTATTTTCTACTAAAAATGTTTCAATTGAACTTTTTATATGTGTTTTTTTGTGTATTTAAATGAGTCCTAATTGAGCTGTGGTCATTTTAAGGTGTAACGTAAATCGTCTAGATAGGCATGTAATAGTACATATATATATATATATATA